GCACCCCCTCCATTTCTGCTTCCCCCCATACCCGTCTTGTTTCATTTTCATGCTACTCTGTTTACATGTGCAGCTTTGGTCTTTTGGTTTTTTACTAAGCAATAATTGAAGCTCATAGTTTTAAAAAATAAAGAATAAAGCAGAAAAAAAAAAAATTCCCCACGTGGTCCCACTCTCTGGAATAACAACTTTCAATATTTGTTATGGATTCTTCCAGAAATCTAAATAAACACTACTTGTTTAGATTATTAATATCAGATCTTTTTTCTAATATAAACATTTAATGCTATAAAGTTATCTCTAAGGGGTGCTTTGGTGGCTCAGTCATTAAGTATCTGCCTTTGGCTCGGGTCATGATCCCAGGGTCCTGGGATCCAGCCCTGCATCAGGCTCCCTGCTTGGCAGGAAGCCTGCTTCTCCCTCTCCCACTCCCCTTGCTTGTGTTCCCTTTCTCTCTCTGTCTCTCTCTCTCTCTCTCTTAAATAAATAAATAAAATCTAAAAAAAAAAGTTATCTCTAAGACTTTATCTACATCCCCCAAATTTTATGTTGTATTTTTCAGTTTTGTTCACACAAATAAGGAATTTGCAAGATGTTTTTTGCTTTAAACAATATACCTTGAACCTCTTTCCAAATATTCGTGCATTGTGAGTGATCTACCTCCTTCTTTCACTTGTCCTTCGTGGCATTTACTTTGTTTCTTCTTCTGGACTATTGCAAATACTTGGAATATTCCTGTGCACGTATGTTTATGGACCTGAGTTACAGCATCTGTTGTGATCCTTTCCTAATTGTGGAAATGCTAGATCAAAGGATATCTCTTACATTCTGGGTAGATTAAAGCCAGATTGTCCTCTGAAAGCCTAATTTATGTTCCCCCCAGGAGTGTGTGGGATTGCCCATTCCCTTACCAAAAATGATGATAATCAAATATTTAATCTTTGCTGATCTGTAAGTGAAGAATGGTATATCGATTCATAGCTCTGATTTGCATTTCTTTATGAATGAGGATGAATATTTTTTCACAAGTTTATTATTTATATGTCTTTCTTCTTCCCTGTTAATTTCTTCTGTATGTTCTTCTGTTACCTTTTTCAATTTCAAGGAAATTAGGACTTTCCTCCAAATTTATGGTATATCTTTTGGCCTTGGTTATAATCATTTTGGCCACAAAGAAGTTTAATTTTATAGAGGCAAATGCGTTAATCTTATCCTTTATGACTCCAGAATTTTATGTCATGCTCTTAGAAAGATCTCCCCACTCTATCACTGTGAGCCATATTTTCTTCTAGTACTTTAATGGTTTTATCTCTACACTGAAATCTGTGACCCATCTAGAATTCATGTTGGTGGAAGGCGTGAAGTAATGATTCAGCTTTATTTCCTTTTCCAAGTGGCAGGGCAGTTGTCTCAACACCATTTATTGATTAATCCAGCTTTTATACCCCTCTTGAAAATGACAACTTTATCTGGATTTGACATTAAACATTCCACTCAGTAACTTTGGCCTCCCAGATGTAAGCTGGGATTTGCGGCCCTCCACACATCTTACTGGAAGCCTCGTGGGCTGTTCAGTGAAAGCCAGATATTGAAGGGTAAGGAAAAGAAGCAGAGGGACAGGTTGAGAACCCCCTGAAGGTTGGGTGGTCATGGCTGAAGGTGAGCACTCAGATGATTCAGCCCCAGCGAGGAATGGGGCTGTGAGCCGATTCCTCCTGTGCCCTCTCTCGCATGAATCTCACTCCACCCTGACACCCACCACACGTGGTCACAGTGCAGCTGAGCCGTAAAAGTGCTGAAAGGGGAGAAGAGAAACGTGTTTACTAATGGTGTCTGCTGTTTACCTGAGCTTTTAGTAAACAATAGCATACTTTTTTCTACCAAACCTTATGAAGAACCCATCGGCGGAAACAACGATTGGAATGAAAGACAGCCTAGGGTTTCCTTCGCCCCCTCCCACGGAGGCCCTGAGATCTCTGCCCTCAGCTCTGTGGCTGAGGGAGCCCATCAGGCGAACTCTGAGCCTGAGGACTCTTATGGACAAAAACGCCAATCTGATGTGCCAAGAAGAGAGTGAGTAGGGTGGTACTTGAAAGAACCTTAGAGTTAACTGTTCCTGGCTGCCAGTTCACTACCAAGGATGGGAAACTCCAGACCTCTCTCCAGGAAGAGAACTGGAATGAATGCCCTTCCCAAACCTTGGATGGCAAGCCAAGGTTCCTTCCTTCTCCCCTCCCCCACCATGTTTGCCCTCTGCCTCCACCCCATCCATCCCCCTGGCAATGCCCTCCATGTGCTTTGGAGCAAGAGAGCCAGCTCTTCTTGATAGAACTGGTGTTCCTCTGTTCTCCGGTTCTGTGATGGCCTGAGAGGAAATTTGCCTCAGGGCGTTTTTATTTACTAATTCAAGCATCACCTGAACAGATGAGTTGAAGTAACAAAGCACTGTTGCAATTCTGTACGGTCCTTGCATGTACCAAGGACACAGCTGTCCAGAAGAATTCTTACCAGTGGTCTGAAGAATTTGCATTAGTCTAAAGCCAAGCTCTCAAGAAGCTGTGTGTACTTAGGAAGCGGGCTGAGGATTAATGGAACCCTCCCGGCCCGTTGCCCCCAGCTCGGCCTTGCTCTCTGCAGCACAAATGCTAGATCCGTGGCTTGCTTAAGAGGACTCTCACCCTTCTCCCTCTTTTCTCTCTTTCAGTAGTACTGTGAGGCCTTTTCTGTACTGTTAGCTCAAAGAATGCTTGCAAAGTGTGGGTTAAATATGCTAAGAAAGTAATTTTTTATTCTCAGGTTTGGAAAATAACTGAGCCACTTTTGGCAGATCTTTGATGTTTTCAGATCTGCTAGGGATAGAATTTCTAGAGCCTTATTTTCCAGGCTAGCAATTACATAAAGTGAAAATGTTGTTTAGTATATAAACGCATTGAGAAAGGACTGGACAGATATACACTGAACTAAGAAGAGGGGCACCTGGGGAGAGGAATGGGGAAAAGGGAAATAGTTGTCTGTTACATGTCTGTATTCTTTACAATGAGAATGTGTTTTTATTACATAATTGTGTAATCAAAAATTAAAACAAATTTTATTCTAGTCCCAGGCATGCTTTCTGCTATGGCCCCAACAACAGAAATAACTCAAATCCTCTTTATTATGTTCGGTTACAGAGCTCATCGTGCCCTGCCTTTTTAAAACGCTTTTGCAAAACTTCTTCTTGCAAGTTTAATTTTTCCAGCCACCTGCTTGCTTGCTGGTTTATAATGGAGGACAGAGTCCTTTCTAGGACTCCAGATCCCATGCCCTGTGTCTAAGGCACATCTCCCAGGCCACTTACAGTATTGGGTGAGATATACTGCTTGGTGAACTTTAATTAGAGCCAAGGGAGTTGGAGGCCATGAAGGCTTTTTCTTCTGGATGATGCTGGACAGGAGGAAATACCCACACTCTCTGGAGGGAGCCCCTGTAGAATTAGAACCACCACACGCAGCCTCACCCCACCAGCCCGGACAAGGTGGTCATCACACTTGCAGATTTACCTGCCCTGTCGACTTCCTGTGTTACATTCACTACTGAAGCAGCAAAGTCCAGAATTAACTCTGGATCCTTGACTTATGTTCACTTTAACCTCCCCCCACGATCAGAAAAAGGAAATACCCATTGAAAAGGGAATAATTCTTGATTTCTTTTTTTTCTTTTGTCTTGTTTTTTTTTGTTTTGGGGGTTTTTATTTGTTTTAAAAATCTAAATTGTCTGTTCTTCAGTGGCTAGAGACACCTTTTTTGGTGTGTTTTGTTTTGCACTAAATATTGAACAGAGAGAGCTTGACCTTCCCAGGATAGAAAATTAGCTGTTTAACACTAGCTACGAACACCACAAAGTAAACTAAGAAACTTCAGTCATTTCTAGAATGAGGCAAGGCCCAAAGAAATAAATCTAAATCAAGAAGGAGGTTGGCTGAAGATATCTGGCCGTTTATTAGCTCTTTACAACCTCTTTATCACAAGATTAGATTCAGCCACTACCAAGATATAAATAGGTTTTCTGATTAGCACACAGCATGTGGATTGAAGTAGAACGTCCAGACACTGAGAATCCAACGGGTAACAGTGTCACGCTCGCTCAGTGTGAATATTACCGTGGGGCAGACCCCAGACAGAGCACTTTACCTCGACCACTTTTACTTCTGTTTCCTGTTACTGAAACTCACTTTGGATTGCATTTTGCTGGTGGGTCTATAGGTACTCTTCAAGTTCCTGAAAGTTTTAGTCATTAAAACAAAACACACTGTGGTTCCTATATAGCTTTAAAATATACTTCTGTAACACGGTGAATTTCAGACAGAATATGACCCCAGTAAATGGGCCTGGAAGTAGAAGAGTAGCTAGTAGGATCTAACATTTGTTTTTGCGTAGCCCATTTTAACTATTACAGTAGCCGCCATATATGTGCCAGGCAGAATGCTGGGGGCTTTACCACAGTTAGAGTCGATAACAACCTTCCATGGTAGATGTTACTATCCCAACTCACTGCCAAGAAAGAGACAGAGTTGATACTTGGACCCTGGCTTGTCTGGTTCCAAAGCCAAGGCCTTCAAATAGCCATTCAGACAATGGCACAATATTTGTTAAAACTTCAGTGGCAAACAACCCAGTCCTATTGTTTTTAATAAAATTCCATGATGGGGGGTGGCTCAGTTGTTAAGTGTCTGCCTTTGGCTCAGGTCATGATCGCAGGGTCCTGGGGTCAAGCTCCACATCGGGCTCCCTGCTTCTCCTTCTCCCACTCCCCCTGCTTGTGTTCTCTCTCTCACTGTGTCTCTCTCTGTCAAATAAATAAAATCTTAGAAAAATAAAAATAAAATTCTGTGATGTGCTTAATCAGGCATATATACGTTTGCTCTCATTTAACCCTTATTGATATAATATATAATAAAGGCATTGGTTTGTCTTTTACATAAAGGTAATAATACTGTTTGTTTGTTTTTTTTTTCATTTTAGCCCCCAGCTAAATACCTCCTTCCAGAGGTGACGGTGCTTGACTATGGAAAGAAATGTGTGGTCATTGATTTAGATGAAACATTGGTGCACAGTTCATTTAAGGTAAATCAACAAAGAAAGCCATCCATGATCTTCGTGATTCCGTCACAGTTGTATTGGAAAGGGAAAATAAAAAGGATGACATTTTGTGGCTGTTGGTGTAGAACTTCCCTGTGCATGAAGAAATACCAAGAACAGTCGCTTATTAACTCTGGTGAACATTAACTCGAGTAGTTGACTGTTCCATAGTTAGTTTGGGGGAAAATGCTGGGCTGCCAGTGTCACTAAGACCTCATTCTTACTTATGAGAGTAGAGTTTTCCAACCCTCCAACCCCTGCAGAAGTACTGTTCAGGTGGCAAAAGGCAGTCAGTACCCTGTGCCCCAGGACACTGCTGTGTATTTGTCAAGGTAGCCAGAGTGCTCTATGTTTTACTGGGCAGGGCAGGAGAGGCACTGTTAAACTGTCAAGCAACCTGCTATCTTGGAAGTTTTCCCAGACCAGTTCTTGAAAGATGTCCAACTCTGAAGAAGACTTCCAGAGTGACAGCATCTGGGATTTGAGCTTTTTCATGAGAAGAGGTTGCTGGGTGTTTTGGGTTTTGTGTGTGTGTGTGTGTTTTTTTTTTTTTTATAAACGTCATAGTTCAATGAGTATCCATCCACAAGCACGACTTCTCTCCTGAAAGGGGCGGGGCTTTAGTGATGTCACAGGAAGCATCACACCACCGGCTTCCTTCTGTCCCTTTCCTCACTGCACTCCTTGCCAGAATGACAGCAAAAATTACAGATTCCCAGAGGGCGACCATGTGGAAACAGCTGTGGCTACACTATTAAGAAGTGACTTTGTGAACCATTTTTCCATTTTTTGAAATGAAACAAGTTGTTTAAAAGAGGCAAATGATGGAAAGGTTTGGGAATAGGAGGTTCCAGGGGAAGAAGTAGGATCCTGGTCCTACTTTCCCTTGGGGTATTTCTGGAGATGAAACTGCTGCACTATCACTGGCCAGTTAGACCCCATTCCTTCTTTTATCCCCAGCCCTCAACTCCCCTTGCTTTGCTGAGAGATGTGAAAGGCACCACCCATGGTGGGGTATGTGTCCCACGTGAACCACAGTCATTCCCTGACTATTGTATTGGGAAGTGGAAGAGCCATCAAATTGACCCGAAGACCTTTCTGTCAGAAACACCCTCCTTGTGCCTGCTTCTCACTGAACAGAAGCCTTCCTTAACAGGACAAGGCCAGGCAGTTGTCTGTGAGTCCTTTGGGAAAGTGGAGCAGGTGCCACACTTAGTCTAGCAATGGGAAATGACCTGCCTAGCCACTGCGGCCTGGAGGTGTTACTTCCTTCCCCAGCAGCTTGAGGGCCCTTCCAGGATTGGTCCCATGGCAGTCATGACCTTGTGCCCCAGCTCAGCTCTGCACAGCATCAGAAGCCTTTTCTTGCCTATGGGCAAGTCACTCAGGACTTTTCAAATCCCTCAGGAGGAAAGTCCTTTGGAGCAGGGGTCATTTGCCATTTCAGCCTACATGGCTTCCTCCCAACACTGGCCAGACTGCCTGGGGTCACGGACAGTTCCTTTCTCCAAAGTTAGGCCTGCTCAGAGGGCATTATACCACAAGCTGATGGGAACAGCATCTCTTCATCTCTTTGCTCCCCGGCCTGCCTATATTTGCAAGCAGGAAATTCTTTGTTGTGTGGGTTTTTTAATTCAAGTATACTGCACATACAGAGTTGTGTTAGTTTCAGGTACATGACATAATGATTCGGCAAAATTCTATATATTTCTCCGTGCTCATCAAGATACATGTCCTCTTAATCCCCTTTATCTGTTTCACCCATCCTCCCCTCCTCCCCTCTGGCAGCCACCTTTAGTGTATGGTTTTTAGTATTCTGGGCATTTCAGAGGCCTCTCCTTAAAAATGTACAGTGGTACGACACACAGGCTCTTAAACCCAGGGGAAGAACCGTGGCTTGGCATGGCCCCCTTTACACCAGCACGTGAAAAGAGACTGAGGCTCAGGCTTGGTCCGAACTGGGGAACGGTTTTTCTTTTTTAATGTACTCTGTGGAGTATGATATCACAATATGCTAATAACTTTTCAGAGTTTCTGCCTTCAATCTTGTGTTTTTTACCATGATTTTGTATTTTCGTTATAGAATTATAAAATACCAAACTTATCATCCTTAGCCTTCCAACCACAGGAGTGAATAAATTGTAATCTTAAACCTCAGGTGCTCTACTGAGTCCTTAAGAACAGTTCTGCAATCTAGAATTTTCTACATTTTCAGTTTACTTATCAAAGAACAGTGTGTGTGTGTTGTGATGGGCTTAAAGGCAGATCCCAGTTCAGATTCTGACCAGAGACTCGGTAATACACACCCCTGTCCACACTCCCTGCCCCCTGGCCACCACATACATGCTCTTCTCCCCCTCTCTCTCCTACTTGTCCCAGGGGTTTGCATTCTGATTCTCTGGGCCCTGTTCATCTGAGTAGTTTCCACCTCATTCATGGAATTCCATTAAGAACTGTATGTAAGCCCAGCAGTGACTTACACAGGCACTGCCAAAGTATATTTGGATTTTAAGTGTCATTAATATTGTCAAAGAGTTCCTTTAAGTATGCTGAAGTTTATGGGTGTGCTCGGCATTGTGTTACTTAGAGCAGAGCAGTCTAGGGTGGGCTGGCTCTCCCCACTGCTCAGGGCAGGAGCTGGTGCCGGGCAAGGCTGAAATCACTGATGCTTGGGACTGATGGAGCCATGGGCACTCAATGGACCCGTTACTATAGCTGTGGAAGAGAGGAGAAGCCGAGGTTGAGAGGGAAGGAGCCTGCCCACAGTCATGGCTTGTGGCCTCTGACTTCAGCCCCACGTCTCTGTGGCCCTGTTTTGTGTCCATGTGCTCAGCATCTCCTGCCGAGCAGCCCATCACAGGGCAGCCTGCATCTGTGGGTCCAGTGCAAATCATTCTCCCCCATGTAGCGCCATCCTTTGGGACCATCAGGCTCTCACCTTCTCCCCCTGGTGGCCAGCAGTGGTTCCGCACCATCCTGGCAGGGCTCTAGGCAAGAGTTGGGCTCTCTGAGAATCCCCATTCCCTGGCTAGATTGCCCAACCCTTTGTCGTTTAGGCCAGGAAGATAATAGAGAGGTTGGACCAAGATGCTGAAAAGGTAAGGATACTCGGAACAGAAAAAAATGTGCTTTCCTGCTTGTGCTTAGGGAACCTGCTTGTGCTTTAAGGAACCAAAGCATACTTGAACATCCTTTGCCTGAACTGTTTTTTCCAATGATAAAAACATTGGTCCAGGCAAGCTTTATTCTTACTAAAGTTTCCAATTTTATTTTATTCTTTCAGATGTAGTAATTATCATTTCTTTTCTCTCTAGCCTATTAGTAATGCTGATTTTATTGTTCCGGTTGAAATCGATGGAACTATACATCAGGTAAGAAATCAAAGCTAAATCTGAGTTTCAATTAGCAGTTTTTAGTAATTACATTTCCTGTGAACTTACACCTAAATTCCCATTTCATCAATAATTTTATGACTGAATCAAAAGGGAGCAGGCTTTGTAAAATAAATACAATGGTTTTCTGCTTTTTTCACTCAGATGAATTTCTTTTGTACTGAGTTTATAAGGGAAACTAAAATCTGTAGATATTAGATGTGGTTGCAAGTTCAAATAGTTCTTTGATTTGATTCAGACTTTTAGAAGTGCCCATATCCCCCGCTGGCCTGGCTTGATGGTCTAATTAACTTCCTCATTGTAAGTGCTCTTGGATACTCTCCTAGCAGGCAACAGGAAAATGCCACAAATCACCCATTTATGGGCGAATCTTGGGAAAGGGTGTCCATTTTCAATGCCAGCCACTCCGGACTGATTTTTCACTCCTACATCGTGTTCTCCAGTGAATCTTTAGCAAAATCCCAACCCAGAGGATGAAGAGGGAAGGGTGTGTTTTCAGATCCGAAGGCAAATTTGAATAAAGATGCCCTAGTTAATTGGCATGCATCTTTGTACTGGTATTTTTTCTCCTTATCTGCATGATGGTTCTCCAGGAATAGCTTCATTTATGAACATATTGGAACATTGTAGGAAAACTAGCCTTGGAGGTTGAGAAGTGGGGGAGATTTTTGTCAGGTTTTCCACAGGGATGGTCTGACCATCTTCCTTGTCAACCCCAGGGTCTTAAAGGGGCAGTCTCTGGCCGGATGTGTTTATATCCCAGGAAGGAAAATCTCTCTTGGTGCTTGAGCCATTTTAAAAGGATATCTTTCCTTAATGATGCCAGTCATCTCTTTGGCCTTTGAGGACAGGGTGTCAGAGTTGGTGATGACTGGCCCAGCCACCTCATTGTCCGGATGGGGAAACAGAGGCTCAGTCAGAGAAAGAGTTGGCTCAAGGTCATACAATGAGAAGAATTAAAATGAGACTTCTAGTCTTTTGCCTCCTGGCCCATGGCTCTTTACCTGATGCTCTAGTCCCTTCCCTCCCCTGCCAGGCAATCTTGCCAGGAAGCTGGCCCTGAGAAAGGCAGCTCCTCCCTAGTGTCTCCACATTTCATGCTTCTAAAAGCCATCAGGGAGCCAAAAGGCAGGCACTTGGGCATTTAACATTTGCAAAAGCATCAGCTGAATTAACTCAGCATCTGAGAAGCAGTTAGGGCTTCATTTATTATCTTGGCTTCTGCTACAAAGTAATGAGACAAAGGAGAGGCTGCCTACCGGCATGGCAAAAATTAGGAGAGAAATTAATCCTTCTTACCTCGAGATGTGAGCGTGACTCTCGGGGCCTGACCTGCTCTGGCCAGCCCATTCTCGAAGGAGCCAGCCCAGCTCCCCCAGCCTCCCTCCAGACTGCGCTATGATTCATACGGTGGTAGATACTCCAGGGCCCCAAGGCTGGGGTGAGAAACTCTCTCTCCTGAGGGAATGAAGCCACAGGCGCCAAGAGGAGGACCAAGGCCCTGGCGAAGGCCGTGGCCTCGTTCAAGTAATCCAGGATAGGCTGTGCAGGTCCCAATGGGCCTATTCTCGGTTACTTGCACGCGGACGCGGGCCTGGACGCCGGCATCTGGGCCCAGGACCTTCCTCTCTGCCAGAGGCACCAACAACCAGAGTTCCCAAATCAGTCTCCGGCCATTTTCGTGTAGCAAAGTTTGCTTTCCAGGCTCTATTCCCAAGGAGACTGAGGACCACAGGCCATACCCATTCCCTGGCATCGAGGAGTCTCCTGGGCAAAGTGGGGGCCTGGAGCTACTATAGCCACAAGCCCTCACCCCGACCTGGCCTCCCAGCTCCTCACAGCCCTGTTGGCACTCACCCCGGGCCACCCTGCTCCTCCGGCCCCTCACTGCACCCTTGGCCACAGACTGTGCTTGCCCTACTCTTTCAGTTGGCCCAAGTTCCCACCGAACCCTGGCTCTGTGCAGAATTCCCGTGCAGTGCACAGAACGCATTCTCTGTGCGGTGCAGAGCCCCGACTCCCTTCCGTGACTCCATGGGATAGACAGCCAGCAACATCTGCCATTCACGGCCCCACGCGTACTCCCCCACACCTGCCTTTCACACTTGCTCTTCAGCCGCTTCTCCTATCCCCCGTCTCCTCTAAAGGGCTGGTCATGAAGGGCTCAGCTGTGCTCTGACATTGGGGTGTTTTCAGGCTGAGTCTCATGCTCATACCCTTCCTTCTGCCTGGAAGCTGACTTCTCATCCTCATCAGCCTGGTGAACTCCTGTTCATCCTTCAAGGTCCAGGCCAGATATTACCTTCTGTGATTCCTTCCCCTTGAGAGGGGAGTTAACTGCCCTTAATATATCCCTGTACTACAACTTCCATTATGCATGCCTATCCGATTTGTTTTTATTTATATCTGCTCTAGACTGTGAGCCCTTCAAGGGCAAGGCCTGTGTTTTGTTCATTTTTGTAACTTCTTCAGGCTGAGCACAGAACTGGGGCTCAGTGAATATGAGCTGAATTGAATTTTAATAAGTTTGAATTATTTTAGGGAAGTGGCTAATTTCAAATGGAATTTATTCAAGTTTTAATTAGTTCTTCTCTCCTCCCACCTTCCCTATCTTCTCTCACCAGCTCTGCCTTCCCTCCCATCTCCCTAGTCTCCTCAGATTGGTTCACGTTCCCCAGGCAGGAGCATAGAGCCCAGCAGCCACTCTAGGAAAGCCTGCTCTTTGCCCCCCGCACTGCTTGGAGGCCCCTCCTGATGGCTGACCGGGGGCCTGGGAGTAGGCCGGTTTCACATCCCCTGACATCTGTTTCTGTACCAAGCAGAGTAACCTTTGTGGGTGTCAAGTGGACAGCTTCCCAGGAAGGCTCTTCTTACAGCTTTGCTGGGCCTGCTCTCCGACCCCAGGCCTGCCGAGCAAGGGAGGTGCTCCAGGCAAGGGTAGGAGGTGGCAGCCGGAGCAATCCCAGCGCTTCCGGGCAATGGGCCGGGCCTGGACCTCCCAAAGGACAGCCCCCAGACCCTGGCCTATGTCCATGTAGGGCCTGACTCAGAACACATGCCAAGAAACACATGTGAGAGAATGAGTCCTTTCACCCAAACGTGGCACACCCCTTCCACTCACTGGTTCGGAAAATCCCCAAGACCCGCAGTACCACGGTCAGCTTCCCTTTCTCCCTTGGGAGGAGCGTCTGCGCCAGACTCAGACCTGGAGCCCCATCCAAGGAGTGTGGCCTGAAGTGCAACCTCTGCTCATTCAGTTGGGGTCTCCGTGCCACAAATAGAGCTGGGGACAGGAAGCAGTTGCCTTTTCAGGAATTCTTCTACGTGGGTGTTGGCCCTCAGCAGCCCCCAGCAGCTGCCACGACTGACCAGCTTGCTGTCTGTTGCCGTTGCAGGTATACGTGCTCAAGCGGCCCCACGTGGATGAGTTCCTCCAGAGGATGGGGCAGCTCTTCGAGTGTGTGCTCTTTACTGCCAGCCTGGCCAAGGTACGTCCTGCTCCCAGCTGGGGGCCCGCAGCCACTTCATCCCGACCCGCTGTCCATCAGACAGCCCTCTGGTAAGGGAGGGGAAGCGGTTTCTATGGTGACAGGTTCCCACCCCAGATGGGATGGCTGCAGGCCATGTGCACAGTACCAGCCTGAAAGGCTTCTGGGTTGCCATGGTGACAGGGAGCCCTTGGAACAAATGCCCCAGGAAGCTGAGCAGGCAGCCACCTCGAGCTGGATGTCCGCAGACCAGGATATCACGAATGTGTCCAATGTCACCGTGAAGGGGCATCTGCATCTCCTCTGCTGACTGGCAGCCTCGAGCCTATGTGTCCTTCATTAGCTTACACAGGTCTGGGGAAGGACGAGTGTTCAAGATTGACCCGCATACACAGGCTGGAGGAGGCTTCTGCCTGCCCTAGTGAGCCCTGGGAGCTCGGGCAAGGGACTTCAAGTCTCTTGACTCCGGGTCTTCTAGAAATTAGGGATAATTCCCTCTACCTCGTGGAGTGGATCAAATGAAATAATGCATATGACAGGCATAGCACAGTGCCTGACTTCTGTGCAGCAAGTCTTCATCCGAGCCCCTGCTGTGTTCGCTGTGCCCCGGCGGCCCTGCCACTTGCTAAGAGCTCCTGATGTTCTTTGTTTAGTTATCATAATTATTAATGATGACAGTTTACATGGTCTGCCCTTGTAGCTCAGCAGGAATCTTTGACCCCACATCCACACTGGCTCTAACCACATAGAGTGGTTTCTTTGCCTTCTCCTACTGTTAAAGGACACCCCCCCCAATCTGGTTATGTCTGCCCTTTCACAGATGTGCTGAGCCAAGGGGGGAGAGGGTAGGTCCACACTCCTCGGAGGAGATCCTTGCCATGATCATCTCTCAAATCCCGAGTCTGATGGGGCCAACACCATCCATTTGTGGGGGGGCACCACCAGTGTCTCCATGGGCAGCTCCAGGACTCTGAAGTAGCCCCAGAGATGAACTTTGCAGGGCCCAGGTTAGCCAACTGCTCATCTCCAGACCTGCTGCAAGGACTCACATGCAGTTCCCCACCACCCCCAACAACTCCTGGCTCTGGACAGCTCCCTTCTCCTCTGCATGCTGAGGACTCTGACCAGGGTCCCAGATACCCCGCTTTGCCAGACTGGGCATTCCCAGTTTGGGCCATCTCTCAGTCATGGCTGAGTTGAGAGAGAACCCCACCTGTACAACATTCTGCCAGGCTCATTGCCAGGCCTTGAAGCATGAGCTGGTAGAGAAAACAAATCCAAAACCTAGGCCTTACTTTCGCACACTAAAAAGAGCATGGCCTCAGGGAAGGGCGCTCCCCATGGGCACTCTTTCCCATGAATGGCACCAAGAGCAATAGTACTGTAGGGGAGTTGACTCTCCTAGCAGTGCTCTGGGGTGCCGAGGAGCCTGAAGTGACAGCTAAGGAAGTAACAAACAGGACGATTGCACCTGCCCAGGGGAGATGGAGAGTTGATGGGATTGGGGGCTGCTGCATTGGGGGGAGGTTGGCAGAGTTGAAACACTCTTGCTTGGCATTGCCCCCAGGACTCACTTAAGCATCCTTGTGCAGTCTCCCTTCCTGGCCTGCTCCCACCTGTGCCTCCATCTGTCTCTGCATCCCTTCTCTCAGTGTTACTCTAGCCTGGCTCAGCTGCATCAGCTCCCAGGTGAAGGCTTCCAGCCCTTTCCTCCCCGTGGACAGGTGGGCACTCCCCAGTTCTTGGCTCTGGGCTCAGCTCCCAGCCAGCACTGCCATACTGGCCCACCGCCCAGGAGCCCACGGGAACCCTCGCTGACTGTCAGAGCCCTCCGATGTCTGCTTCCTCATCTTGGTTTCCTTTGCGGATGGATTCACCCAGCAAATATTTACTTAGTGCCTACTGGAAGTTGGGCTCTGTCCTGGGTACTGGGGATGCAGCAGAGAACAAGAGGCAAAGCCCCTGCCCTCATGAAGCTTACATTCCCCACATTCATCTCCAAGGCTTAGAGCCCCTAGACTCAGACATTGCTTGAAGGATGTATGCCACCACCAGTATCAATAATTCTGGGGAAATTAATCACCATTTCCATCTAGAGTCTGCCCCCTAGCACCCACAACGCACTTGGCTGCCCTTACCAGCTGAAAACTGCAGTGCCCACCTGGTCAGCAGGAAAATATAGCCTGCTCCCAGACTCTGCCCCTCGGGATGTCTTCAGGAAAAGGAGGACATTCCCACAGAGTTGGAGCTGCTCCCTGTAGCCCATGGCCCTGCATCCTACAGCGTGCTGGCATTGCTCTGCTCTCGGGTACTACTGTGCCTTCCACTGCTGGCCTTCCCAACACCCCAGCCTTGGGGGCTTCCTGCCTCCCCAGCAGAATTGCTGGGCCCTGGTAACACCTGGCTGTGCTGGTCTTGGTGCTGAAGCATGGCCTCATGTATGCCTTGGAACTGCCACTTTTTTGCCTCCAGCCCCAGCCACTCAGGGCAGCCCAGTCTTTTAGACATTTTCATTTATGAAGGTTTTTCCCCTCAAGGATGATGCCTTTATTTCTTTATCCTGTTTAGCCTGATTTGGGAAAATTCCCCCAGCCTCTGAGGGCCAAGCAGGATTAGCCCCAACTGTGAGCTGGGCTCACACTCATAAAACTGGGCTCCAAGGAAAGGGAAGTGGGAGTCTGATAATGTCCTGTGACTGGCAGGGGCTGGCCTGGCCCAGCTGCCCCAAGCACCCATAGGGGACAATGTGGCCTCATACCACATGAGCCAGATTCAAAGTCCACTCACTCATTCAGGGATGAAACTAGTATTTCCTGAGCCCCCACCATGAGGTGGGCACTGTGCAGGGTGCCAGGGACATCATGGTCAGCACGACAGACAAGGCCTGCACCCCGAGCAGGGAAAAGCAAATCCATAATCCCCAGGGCTGGTGAGGGAGCTTGTGAAGGAGACCACTGTGAGGCAGTAGGAGCCAGGAAGGGAGGGACAGGCCGGTGCTCCAGACTGGTGGCTGGGGAAGCCAAGACTGAAAGGCAAAGAGGCAGAAGGAGAGGCTCCTGCGGAGATCTGAAGAGTGCATGTTCCCTGCGGAGGGAACACTGGTGCCGAGGCTCTGACCGTGGTCAGCCAGTGCGGCTCAGGTGACCGGCTGGAGCAGGGAGGTGGCAGAAATCACGTAGCTGCCGCTGTGTGGGGTATGGCGGGCCTCCCTCCAGGGGTCGCAGGTCAAGACGGGGGTTTGTAAGCAGGAGAATGATCTGATGGGACATGTTTTCCAGTGGCCACTCTGACACGGGCAGGAGTAGCGGCTGCAAAGGAGATGCAGGGGATGTGGGGGGCTCTTTGGGCAGCTCACGCCGCTGCCCTAGGCAGAGGTTACACAGGTTGGGATCAGGGCAGTGTCCGTTACACAGAGGGGCAGGTTCATTCAAGGTAGTCTTGGAGACGGAACTGCCAAGAATTTCTGATGGATTGGATACGAGAGGTGGAAGAAATAGAAGAATCCAGGGTATCCTGCACGCATGGAAAGGAGAAGAACCAGGATCCTAAAACACATCCAGTTACTTAAATCCCTTTCTAGAAAAGTAATGCAAGTAATACTTGCTCTAGTAGGTCAGGGTTTCTGGGCTCTTTCGGGTGCCTAGCCTTCACCGCAACCTGCTTTTCAGTACGCAGACCCCGTGGCTGACCTGTTGGACCGCTGGGGCGTGTTCCGGGCCCGGCTCTTCAGAGAATCATGCGTCTTCCATCGTGGGAACTACGTGAAAGACCTGAGTCGCTTGGGCCGGGAGCTGAGCAAAGTGATCATTGTGGACAATTCTCCTGCCTCGTACATCTTCCATCCCGAGAATGCAGTAAGTGGCCCCAGGGGGAGAGAACGCGGGGCCCCATCCAGTTCCACATTTGTGCCCTCAAGCACCTGTGCCGGCTTTCTTGGCCTTCCCTGGGGGGCCCCAGCTCTGGCACTTAGCAGGTACTTGGCACTGACTGAGTTATTTAACCTCGCCGAGCCTTAGTTACCTCGCCCATCAAATGGGGATTCTGGGGGTGCTGACCCGGAGGATGCTTGGAGGACTGAGTGTGGGAGTGAAAAGCACTTAGAACACTGTCTACATTGGGTAAGTGCTCAGGGAGCCTGGATCTTAGCAATTTTCATACTGTTCCTGAGAAGGGCACCGTCAGTAACCTCCTGGAGCTCGCTTCATGACTCCTGTAGACTCAGAAGGCCTGGATGATCTCTTCAGCAAAAGTTCTTAAACAAGAATGAATAAAAACACCTCAGTCAAGGCCTTCAGACAAGCCTGCCCAGCTTTTCCACCTCATAGTGATGCCTTAAAAGTATACAGTGGGAACATTTCCTACATAAAACTCCCTAGAGCGTGGCAGCCCTTAATGCCCGCTCCCTGGGTGCAGCATGACTTTCCAAGCAAGAGATGCCATCCCGCTACCCAGCCCTCGCTTCCAGGGGACGAGGGGCCAGCCAGCCCTCGGGTGACAGCAAAGCCCTCCGCAGCACCGCCACGCTGCCTCTCAGCTCAGGCAGCCCACCCTGCACAGGAGGCTTCCTCCCCAGCCTGGGGTTCTCCGCCTCAACACAGGCTTCCCCAGGGTTCTTTCCTTGAAGCCAGAACTCTGTGGCTCCACTTATAGCAGAAAGCCGAGATCAAGCTAGATTTATTTAGTTAGTGCGCAACGATTACTTGAGTAAACATTCCAAATTTATTATATTTAAACATGTTCATTTTAGTGAGTTAATCAAATTTAGCATAATGCATTTTGTCATGCGTCTCTAACAGATAAGGATTACTTCTTAATATAATCACAGTTCCATTATCACATATGACAGAACTAACAGTTTCTTAATATTATCTGCTATCCAGACTGTGTTCATATTTTCCCCGTCATCTCAAAATGTTGTCCTGCATTTGGATTGTTTGACTCAGTATCAGACAAGGTCCAAGCACTGCTTTGGTTAATAATGTGTCTAGTAATTCTTGTGTAATTTAATAGTTCCCCCTCCCCTCTGCCTTTTTCTTCCATCCTGTTTACTTGTTGAAGAATTCTGGTTATTTGTCTTGTAGAAACTTCCTCTCTTCTGGCTCTGTCTAGTTGCAGCCACATGGTAGTGTTTTACTTTGTTTTTATAACTGCCATATTCCCTTTTTTTTTTAATTAATTTATTTATTTATTAGACAGAGATCTCAAGTAGGCAGAAAGGCAGGCAGAGAGAAAGGAGGAAGTAGGCTCCCTTCTGAGCAGAGAGACCAATGTGGGGCTCAATCCCAGGACCCTGAGATCATGACCTGAGCCGAAGGCAGAGGCTTTAACCCACTGAGCCACCTAGGTGCCCCTGCCATATTTCCTTTAAACAAGTAGTTAGATGAGTACTACTTGGTTAAATGCAGGTTCAGTTTTTCAAGTTTTTCAGTTTTTTCAAGAATATGTCATAGGTGATACCATATACTTATTGTGGTATCACATCAAGAGGCATGTAAGGTCAGGCTGTCCCACTTTTAAACATTTTACTTTTATTATTATTATTATCAAGTAGGCTCCATGCCCAGTGTAGAGCCCAATGTGGGGCTCGAACTCACAACCCCAAGATCAAGACCTGAGCTGAGTTTTGAGATCAAGAGTTGGATGCCTAACCAACTAAGCCACCCAGGTGCCCTTTAAAGATTTTAAGTCAGTCTTTGGATTCAGATGTTAGCCTGTACCATCTGTTTGCAAATTCCCTGTTGTCCTTTCACCTAAAAATGTGAAGCCGCTGAGGATCATTGCCTCCATCAACTATTTCATTAACAACTACGAAATGGTGATTTCTAAATTTTATCATTCTTTCCACATTTATTGGCTGAAACTCTATTTCTTTTAAATGAAACTTGCCCTCATTGACTACTTGATTATCCTAAATTCAGTTTGAATGTTTGAATCAGGAAGTCAAGGTAAAGTCTTGGTTCTTTTTCTTTAATTCTTCAGTCTTCAGAGTAATGAGGTGGTGCTCTAGCAACTTCCAAAAGTAGACAGAGAATTTGTTGTAGGTATCAATATGAACTCATGGATTTTTTTATTGTTATAATTTAATCCATGTATTCTTCTTTTGGATGCTGAAACGCTCACCTTCAGATAGCAGACATCCCTTCATATAACAGTGGTCTTTGAACACTTCTGTTTTCTGGTGCAACAAGGTATTCCAGGCTCATCTTGTCCCTTTCTTGCCTCAGCCCTGGAATCACCCACTTTCCTATGGAGCCCGATTCCTGTTGGTGGAAATGGTATTTAGAGACGACAGTCTGGGTGGATTCTCATTGTTCCTGAGGTATCCTATGCTTCCAGCCCTTTATACTGGACAGACCTAAAATATACATATTTTTAGAATTAAAATTAAATCATGAATTCGTATTGGTTTTTTATAATTCAGTGTTAAAACAGTTTTTATTTAATTTCTTTGGTTTTGTTTTTGTATTTGTATCTCTTCTCGTGCTGAAACTCTTGGTTCCTAAATATATTAACATCATTACCTAGTCTTAGTCTATAGTACTTAGACTTAGTCTATAGTACATGTTTAATAGTTTCCAAATAGCAGTTAGTCTATAATCTATAGTACATGTTTAATAGTTTGACTTAGTCTATAGTACATGTTTAATAGTTTCCAAATAGCAGTACTAACGTTATTACTACTACTAAGACAATTAGTACATGTAGGGTTTTTATGGAGAAAGGTACAGGCAGAACGCTATGTTTTAAATCGCTTGAAGTAATTCTCTGTGTGGCTATGTCACCAGCTTTATATTAACTTTGGTTCATCTTTTTTATTGCTTTCTTTTCTTAATTGTTTAATTTTTTTAAGATTTTATTTATTTGACAGAGAGAGACTCAGCAAGAGAGGGAACACAAGCAGGGGGAGTATGAGAGGGAGAAGCAGGCTTCCCGCTGAGCAGAGAGCCCGATGTGGGGCTCGATTCCAGGACCCTGGGATCATGACCTGAGCCGAAGGCAGACGCTTAAAGACTGAGCCACCCAGGCGTCCCTTAATTGTTTAATTTTATTGCAATTATGTAACATATTTCCATGAGTCCAACATCAAAACTACCAACAGAGATGGGTTTAGAGAAATCTTGTGTCCATGTCTGCCCTCTCCCTCATTCCTGCCCTTCCCGTAGGAGTAGTCATTATTTTTTTTGTTAATCCTTACCTTGTTTATATTTTTAAATTATACAGTGAATTGTTTTGTTTCTGAGCAGTCTTTAGATTTATAAAAGGGCCTCAAAATACTACTTTTGAACTCCTTTGATTTTCCCCAAACTTTTTTTAAATTTTTGTATTTACTTATTTATTTATCAGAGAGAGAAGAGAAGTAGGCAGAGGCAGAGCTGCAGACAGAGGGAGAGGGAGAAACAGACTCCCTACTGAGCAAGAAAACAGATGTGGGACTCAATCCCAGGACCCCAGGATCATGACCTGAGCCGAAGGCAGGTGCTTAACTGACTGAGCCACCCAGGCGCCCAGCAGATTTTTTACGTCCCTTCTTTTGCACCCCTGACTACCACCCATTGCCACCCCTCCCTACCCTCTAAAACTGAGTGTAAATCCTGTCCGTTCCCGTGGCTCAGACTGTCCTGAAATGTTACATTTATGCTTTTAACTGCTCACTGCTAAGGATGGAAGGAAATTCCCCACCTCCCTTTGCCATACAGCATGGCCCGGCAACCCCAAGTGAAAGCTTTCCTGGCCCTGTTTGGGGGCTCCCTGGTGTTAGTGGCTGACAGGCAGGTGACCTCTGGCTCCGGGTGAGGTGTAAGGAGCTGCTTGGATACAATGGAAGAGCTTTTGAAATTGACAGGTAGCAAGGCTAGCTCTTCTATATTCTGCACTCTGGCCACCTTTCTTGAGGCAGGAAATCAAAGCAAGCAAATGCACGCAAACTAGCAGTTAGACTCCACTTAAAAAGCAAATGCACTGAACTGTACCTTCGTCCCAAACCAGGGAGCTTTGGAACGGCCTTAGCTGGGATGGGAGAACCAGATGATGATGATGATGATGATGATGATGATGGTGATGATGGTTTTTAGATACCTGTCCTCCTTACCAAGGAAAAGACTAACAGAGCGGGGGGCCCAGTCAGGCTAAGAGCCGCCCCCTCCCGCACCAGGTGCCGTTCTGCTGCCCGCTCCACACACTGTCTTCCAGGTGCCCGTGCAGTCCTGGTTCGATGACATGACGGACACAGAGCTGCTGGACCTCATCCCCTTCTTTGAGGGCCTGAGCCGGGAAGACGACGTGTACAACATGCTGCACAGACTCTGCAGCAGGTAGCGCCGGCCCCCGATGCCTCCCACCCGTGCGCCCTGCAGCCGCCGGCCTCGGGGGCCCACCCGGCCACAGCTCCCCGGGAGCGCCCAGTGGGGACACTCCGTGCTCCAGGCCACGAGGGCCATGTGGCCATACCTACCTGGTTGCTTTTTTAAGAACAGAAACAACTATTTTAAAATGAACTCTTTTAACCAATTTCATAAAGGGACATGCATTTTACTGGATTTGCTTTTCTTAAAACATACCAAAAAGGATAAAAATGGGGAGGGGGGAGAAAAAAAGCTTGAGATCTATCAGAACTTCCTTTCAACTGGCCCCACTTGGCCCCCTCCTCCAAGCAGACAACCTGTCCCTTTCTATCCCAGCTCGGAGCAGCTGACCCAACTCAGAATCTCTTTCCTCCAGGATGAAGTGCCTTTTTGAATGTTATTTTAAGCTGAGAGTTAATTTTTCTACACAACATATTTCCAGACATCTTTTAGTCTTTTATTATCTTAAGATTCTCTAAAAAAAAAAAAACCGAATATGACAATTTTCTAGAACCTGGGGTGGGCGGGTGGCGAGGGATGGAGGTGAGTCCTAGAAGCCAGTCTCCCAGCAGGTGTGCGTGCTCTGACGCCCGGTGGCGGCGCTGCAGGACCGGGCTCCCGCAAGGAGCCTCGACGACCGTGGCAGTGTCTTGGTTCATTACGTACCCAGTTTGGAATGTACCTGCAGTCGTGCGGCTCGACACTTTAGGAAACAATAGATACTTTTATATTATCACTGTTACTTCGGATGGTGACAGTTGTGTCCTGCGGTCACACTTTCCCCTTGAAAAGTGGCATCGTCACCTCTACTTTCAACCACTGCCATACTTCTGTACGTTTTTTGTTCTGTGGCTGTCGTTCTGGGTAGAGCAGTTCCAAGAAACTCCAAAACCCTCGGATATCTTAAAAAAAAAAAAAAAGAAAGAAAGAAATCTGTTGATTGATTTTTAAATTTTTCCTTTCCAAAAGCTGGATACACACGGAGCTGTTTGGGAATTTTCTTTGCTGCTACCACGCTGCCACCAAATGGAATTGACCAGCGGCTGTTACACTGTTCTTTGCCACTGTGCCTATGCTCAGAATCTGCTCACTGCTAAGCTGCAGACGTGGATAGGGTCAGAAACGTAGGTCCCCCCCCCAACCCTCCCCCCACGGCAGACTGCACCAACCGTATCCCTTCCCTGGCACTGGCCATGGGAGTTCAGGAGGGAGCAAAGACGCGGGGGCCAGCGCACCAGGCATGGCGTTCATTCTAAACAGCAGCCATCATCAGATACCGTGATGAGTTGACTATTCTCCTTTGAGAACCTGTGGCCTCAACCAGCCACCGCACTGATGTGGCCCAAGTCCACTCCTGGTCTTCTCTTTTGAAGCACAGCCTCTTTCTGAGCCGGGGTTGGGGAAGCCTGTCCAGATGTGGATGGAGCCCATCGCCCTGAGTCAGGGAGAGACAGGGTGCCCTCCCTGGGCTGGGGCTTCCTTTGCAGCCTTTCTCAGTGAGCTGTTCTAAGCAGTGCCATGTTCCTTGTTTGACAAGACAGTTTATAAAGTATTGCTCTTAAAAATAATTTAAAAGAACCCTGTCGTGTCGGCACCATTGCCTTAGTCCTCTGTGGGTTGGGCCTCCGCCAGAGCTCTGGTGGGAGAGACTGGCACTAACAAGTCTGGAGATGGGGGTCAAAGTAAAATTTTGCTCCTGCTTTTGTTCACAAAATAATGAAGCCAGCTGCCAGTCCCGTCCTCCCAACAGCACTTTAGGCTGTGGACTGCCATGCGTTCAGAAGACAAGTGTTTGGGGTAATCAGGTGCCCCAGCATTCTGGGTATGCAGGACCCAGTAATCCCCATGCCAGTTCCGGCAGAAATAGCCCCACGCTAGGCATTACCACAGAGAACGGCGTTATGTGGCAGATCTGCACATGCCCTCAACCTTGATTTGGAAAACTAGTCATTAATGAACCCGCTGCCTTAAATGTTCTTGAATGTTGCAGTCAAGTGTCTGTCCTGTGTTGAAATCCACACAGAAATCAGTCCTGGGGACAGCCTTCGACCCTCCCCCCTGCCCTCTTCTCTGCCGGCATCACGCGGTCTTCTCTGGAATAGTGGGCAGAGAGGACGGAAATTCTAGAGTATTTCAGGGGAATTGAACCTAGGAACAGTGTCCCACTTCTGAGAGCTGGAGTGAAGATGCTGGCAAGCTTGAGCCAGACACTGCACCTAGTAGTTCTGAAACCGCGAGCGCCATTGCACGACTGTTGGGGATGGAGCCCGGTTCCAGCCATTGCAGACACAGACTGTCTCGGGGGGTGCCAGCCCCTCCTTCCCCTCCCCCCGAGCCTTCTGGATTCTGTGCACCTTAGTTGACCACACTCCAAAATGCCATTTTTATTTTAACCCTTGATTCTGCTTTATGTACATAATCAGAATATCTATATCTCTCTATATATTTTTAATCATCTACATGTAAATGAAGCAATAGAATTCTAACATAAGGCCAAGAAATGAGATGAATGTTTGGGGTTTATGTTTTTTAAGGTAAATACGGGTATTGTTTTTAATTATTACCTTTTATTAAATTGTGGGCTTTAAAACCTAATGAACCCTATTAGCTACTTCTCTGTGCCATATGCTTCCCATGTTACCAAAATATCCCCCCCACACACACACACACTCTTCAACCAAAAGAGAAACCCAGCCTCCTGAGTTTCTTGGTCCTTTGTGTACCAGGTTAAAATACAGGCTCCCGGACAAGTATTTTTTATATTAAGATCTGGGACAAGAGAGCTTGAGTCATGGACTTGGGCCCCTATGATGTGACAACATCTCTGGCCAGGCGGTGGGTGGCAGTGCCTGGGCCCATTGGAGGTAGTCACTGCGCTGTCTTCCATTGCTCTGGACCCTATGTGTTGGTCTGTGGCTTCACGCATTAGCTGTTTGTAAACAGTGTTATCTGTATCCTAAGGAGGAACGCAGCATGTCACAGCCGATGGTTGGTGGGGAAGCTCCTTTGACATTCCAGTTTTGATGAGGTGACTTTGGAGAATTGAAGAGGCCCTGATGACACTGATTTGTTATGGTTGCAGCATTTGAACTTCTGGTGTAAAAAAGAAATCTGTAAATCTATAACCTGGCAACCCTTTACAACCCTACATTTTAAAGACGGCTCTCTAATAAAATCTAGAACCACACAGCCCTCTGTGGTCAAACACTCGTGACGTTTGTGCCTCTGCTTTTAAAGGTGCTGCAATGGGCAGTTGGCATGCCAGGGTTCGAGAGGGTGGGTGGCTTGAAGTGCTCACAGTTACCTGAGCAAACTCTTACCGGCTGCCTCTGTTCCTGTCTCACTGTAAAACTGATGGTGTCTGTAACTGTCCGTTCTCCAGGGAGCTTCTCTGCAGACTAACACCCCCCATCCCCCCCCCACCCCGTAGTGGAGATTCTGGTGCCTGGGTAGTCGTGGATTTCTGTTGGACATTTGAATGTGACAAGCCAGCATTACTTGGGAAATACTACATGTGGAATGTGCACGTTTCCAGGGGCGAGCATTGTCCGGTCGGTCGAGAGGTTTGCAATGATTTTCTTCCTGCCAAAAATAAACACGTGAAACTGCGCCCTCTTGTGGATGGACTGCTTCTCCGGCGCTAGCGCCTCTTTCCGCTCTCTATGCGCTCTCTGTTCTCTCCACCTCCACGGCCTCCCGCCGGCCCCGCGGGTCTTGGGTGGGGGGTGGGGGGCGCTTCTGCAGAGCTGGGGTGTTTGGGAGCAGGGCCGCAGCATCCCAGGAGCCACTAACCTTGACCCCGGGGCAGGCTGGAAGACCATCCTGCTCAATGGTAGACCCCCTGGCGGCGTCTCCGCAGACAGAAGCCGTGTGGCTCGCTCTCCTGGCCCAAGGATTCCAGCCCTACCAACGGGCTTCCGCGCAGCCTGAGAGAACCGCAGCCCACGGGAGCCACTGGCATTGTGTGTGAGGTATGGTGCCTAAACCCAGAGCCCATGGGCACGCTGGCTGAGCTGCTGTGATCACCCGCTGAAGCATGGCAAGGGCTAGAAAGAGTAAGGATCACTGAGACAGCTTTCTCACCCGGGGACACCCTCCAGGCACTGCCCTCAGCCCAGCCCCTCTGTATGTCAAAGTGAGAGGGGCAGCAAGTGCTCCTCTGCTGGAGAGTCATGGCGGAGCCTTGGGCCTGGCCACACCACTCATGACTGTTGCTTCATGGTGATCCCTAATTCAGATAACACCAGTGTCAACGGTCTCATTAGACAGGCCTTCTCCCCATTTCATGGATGAGAAACCTGAGGCCAGTGAGACAATTCTTGGCAGTCTCTACTCTATAACAGGTTTCCACCAGGCGTGTATACTCGTCCTGAACAACATAGGACACAGGATGTGGGTCAGCCCAGAAAACCTACTATTTACCCAAAAACAAAACCCCAAATCCCCCACAGCTAGTCTGTGCCATGCCCCTAGGTCACCCTCTCCACCGTGGGGCAGCTGTCCAGCCAGAGAAGTCACGCCAGCTTTCCCCCAGGCTTTGGACTAGGCTGTGTCCCTCTCTGTGTCTCTCCTTGGTTCTGCTCCTCCCCAGTCCTCTTCTCTCCCTCCTTTTGCCTTCTCTGGCATTGCCACCATACCCACGACAGCTTCACACGTCTGCATACAACCAGACAGACAGATAGCTGAGAATTGTGGCAGGCCCTAAAGCAGAAGTGTCCCAGTGAATGTCCATAGATCCTCTGAACAGGTGGGAAGGAAACATACATCATCAAGAAGCCACTTATTTGGGACTTGGGCATACTTGGATTTCACCTCTGGATGTTTTCTTGTTTGAGCACGTATCATCCGTGTCAGGACCAAAGAATGAGCAGGAAGCCAGGGAGGGGAGGGGAGGAGTGGCCAGGGAAAGCCAGCCTGGGAAGACAGTCTGTTGAGCTAATGGATGGGGGGAGTGTCGGGGGCTTGTGGTGGACTCCTCAGAGTAACTGGAAATGCTTACGTGGCAGATCTACACTGGGACTGCCCGTGGGTCAACAGGCTGCTCAAGACCAGAGCCACAGTTGGCATGGTCAGCAGCCTGGTCTCCAAGGAGAATATACTGGACCCTCCAGCACTGAGGAGGAGGATATGGGGGTTCCGGAGTTTTCCATCCCAAACTTCCATTACAGCTCCATCTTTTAGCTCAGCAATTCTCAGCTGTGAATCGCTCCCATTAGTCACCTGATTAGATTAGAATCACCTGCCGGCTCCTAAAAACATAGATCCCTTAAGTCCACTCCAGACCATTTGAACCCCAAACCCTGAAAGTGGGCATCACATTTCTACTCAAAGTTCCAGGAAGGGCTGAGAACCCCTGTTCTGACCAGCAATGGAGGAAAATAAATTTCCCAATTTGTTTCAGGCTTGACACCCAGGTATGGCAGAGGGGCCATGGACAGGACTTAGGGGAAATGGTTTGTATTGCTTTACCTGAAAGGCCAGCCATACAAGTTAATTGCTAAAAGGTCAGAAAACCCAGAAAATTACAAAGAAAATCCCACACGGTCACTGGGAGCCTTTCCCAAGGCAGGGGTGAGGAGAGGGACCTAATAGCCACGCTCAGCTGACAGTTCCTGCTTTAACATTGAGGCGGGAGCAGAGTGGATACCCCCACTTCACATAGGAGCCCTGCGTCACACTGTCCACCAAGCTAACCGAGCCTTGCACCCCCCCCTCCCCTATCCTGGCCCAAGTGGTGTCTCCAGTGGGTAGACGGCACGACTGTGCAGGGTGACACATACCCAGCCGCGGGGATGCAAAGCGGGGACACCTCCTTGTTTGCAGGGACCTAGGGCTCTTTTCTAGGCTGTCCTCAGGCCCTACCAGTTCCCACCACAGCGACTTCCAAGGAGCCCCTTTTGGGCCGGGTGACCGTGTCACTGCTCCTCTGCGGCCTGCAGCCAGATGGGAGGGGGCGGGGGTACAAGTGGGCCTAAGGCTGTTCTCCTGAACGGGGCGTGTGGCCAGGAAGTTTTCAGGCTGTGGGATCCAAGACCCCTGTCA